GTTTCATTTAAAAAAACTAAAATATGTCAAGATACTGAACACATTAAGGAATAAATAACAAATATATGTTTATGCATTGCCTTCTACTTGAAGCAATCTGGTTGGCATTTTCTCAAGGGGGTTATTTAAATTTTAAATGGAACATCTCATTTAGAGTTCTACAAATATGCTAGGGCACAGAAGTAATTTATATGTACATGAAACTCTTCACTTAAGCACCTGGGTACTTGACAATAATTAAAATACAAAGTAGACTTATTAACTTTCCCTTTTAACTTTCTACCTTTTTGCTTCTTCACAGAGAGTGAGAGGAAATTTCTAGAGTAGATTGTCAAGTACCTAGAGGTCCTTTTTCCCACTAGCACATAATGCCTGATTGCAATTGCCTCCTGAATCTCCCTGTTGCATCCTTAAAAAGGTATGCTGTGATCTTCCCTTATGCACCCATTGTTTATTTTCAGAATATGTTTTTATTTCTTAAGCTTTCAGTCCCTTTTATTCCAATCACCAGAGACTGAACATTTACTTCACTTTAATGCCAGCAATATAATTAAGGAAATAGATGGTAAAGGGATCAAAATGACAAAAAGTGCTGTAAATCAGAAATTTCCACAACATAGTTTTAACAATGACCTGGGTAGATAATTTCCATACTTATGTCATTGGCCCCGGATTTCCATCCCCACCTCCATCATCATTAATTGTCATGGAGGACATAATTTAAACCAGTGGTTCTCAAAATGTGGTACCTAGAAATGCAGATACTGGACCTATTGAATTCACCCTAGACCTATTGAATCAGAAGCTGTAAGGGTGAGGCCCTCGGGTCTATGTTTTACCAAGCCCTCCGCGTGATTTGGACGCCCGCTGAAGTATGAACTGATCCTGAAACTTAATGTGTTGAATTCTTCAGTTTGCTTCCCCTTTCCTAGTCTCATAACTTCACCATTCTTACCAATAGTATTACGATCACCTTAATTTGTTGATATCAACATTTTGAAATCATTTTTGCTCTTCTTTATTTTGCCTTTTTCAGTCCCCCATCATGAAGGCTGCCCATTTTGTACCCAGCGTGTTTTTAAAAATCTGATATTTTGCTCTTATGTTAAGCCACAAAACCAAATCCCAAGCCTTTTCCAATAAACAAACAAATATCCTCTGTAGTTTTTTATTCTAAATTGCTGTTAAAATAATTTCCCTATATGCTGCTTTTATCTTTGCTGCTGCTGGAGAAAAGTGCTATTCTATTTTGAAGCAAAACACAGTGCTCCTGCTTGTCCTTTGAGGCCTCCAGCAATCAACATTCCACTCCTGCATTAGTGTTAGTCCTCATTCTCCAGCAAAGCAGGTCTCACTGGCTTGTTCTCTCTCACTTCCTTTGTACTCTGTGTTTCTCTTATCTGGAAGGCTTTCTTCCCATCCCTCTGTTCTCTTCCTGTGAAAATCCAATTCACATTCTTTGAATCAGGGCATTATCATTCAATACTTATTTTTACTTTGTCGTAACTGGATTAATTTTGCTCTCACTTGCATGTTTCTTTCCCAACATTTTTTCAAGTCAATGCAATGTTTGTACTCACCACTTCTTTTCTATATCTTTTTAATGTTCTTCTACTCTATCATGTGTTGTATGAGACCCAGCACATGGTCAACTGACTTAAAAGTAGGTAAGATGAGATACTGAAACTACATTGTCCACGTTTGCAGTTATTAGTAGTTCTGGTTTAGGTTTATGGGAGAGAGTATGAAAACTACTGTCTAATAAGGGCTTGGATATTCATAACTAGTTATCCACACCAAAAGTTTTTTGATGCTATGCCAATATCATTTAGGGTACTGCCTAAATGTGACTTTATCATTCAAGATACAATTTATTTCTCAACAAATATGAAACCATGAAATCAGTGTGTACTTGTGTGTGTATACATATATCTTCTCTTTAACATGGGCGTAAACCTAAAGGAAATTCCACTAAAGCTATAAAAAGGAAAAAAAATTACACCAACAATGATCCTTATTTCTCCCTGAAATAAAATAGAGTCTGTTTGTTCTTAATTTTTTTTTATGATTTAGTGATATTCTATAGAATACTTTATTTTAATTTCAAAAAGGCAGCAACCAACTAATGTGGTAGAAGACCCTGAAAGGGAGAAATGGGTTAGAGAGAATCAGTAAAACTTCAAATAGACACCACCAGGCTTCCAGAGCAAAGCCAGCTATAAGAGAAGGAGCAGAAAGCATTAGTGGGAATCTGTTTCATTTAATCCTGGTACTGGGAACAAAAGAATTTTTCTTTTTTATTTCCTAAAGACAATTTGACTCTGTTAAAGCAGCATCTTTAGCTTCACCATATCATTTAGAATTGCATTTGGAATGTTAAAAGAAAAAAGTTAGACAATTTAATTTAGCAGAGTTTGAGCAAAGAACAATTCATGAATCAGGCAGCCCTTAGACCAGGAGAGGTTCAGAAAGCTCCACCCAGCAACTGTGGGCAGGAAACATTTATAGTCAGAGAAAGCAAGTGCCCTACAGAAACAGTTTGATGGGTTACCACTTGGCCTTATTTGCCTTATCTGGTCATGGTCTGATTAGTTGAGACTCAGCTGTGGCTGCTGTAATAGGCTAAGACTCAGCTATTTGTCATTACAAGAATATACTCTTAAGTCATAGTTTGCTTACATACTATGTTAGGTTGCAGTCCACTACCTACAGAGACAGCTTTTGGCCAAATTTAATTTCACTTAACAGGAGTTCTGTCATCAACACTTATCTGCAGATTCTTATGATTAAATTTGTACCTGTCCACAATTCCTTATCTGTGAATCCAAAATCTGAAAAGCTGTGAAAACTATTTTTACAATCTTTAGGTGACAGAATATTACCTGACCTGAATGAGTTTGGTGGCAAAACCAAATTGACATAAAATTATTTATAGTTTTTACTTATGCCACGTGTGGTGAATGTTTATACATTTTTTTCCTGCTTGATGTGTTTGAGTATAGAGTGAAGTTCTAAACCCCTTGGGCATGTGATATAATATATTGTATAGATTCTATTACCTGCCTAAAATTCAAAATTTTCTGTAATTGAAAACATATCTGGTCTTAAAGATTTAGGAGTAGTAATTGTGGATCTGAACTCATTTTCTATGATTTTATCAAGAAAAAGTTTGAAATTATGTACTATTGTCTTGAAAATATCTCTTTAATACTTTGAGGTTTCTGAACATCTCCACCATAAGGGAAGTAGCTATGTTAGGTTTTAACAAAGAAGGACTCTGGATACAAATTATACAAAGGGACTGAAAATACTTTTAAACATGGTGAAATGTCAAGGGGCACAATTCAGAACCCAAGAATGCGAAGAATTTTCTGTATTTTGTTCTTTAACTACCATATAGGTGTGCTAAATGAATATATAAAAATAAAATATATGCACATATATACATATAAAATGTATACATGTATGTATTTCATCAATCTAACAGCAAACTTGGAAAACAGAATTGCAGCTGAGTGTCTGTGTGTGTATTTATCGTGCCCTACTTTCATAATAGATCATAGTACTAGTTCAAAAAAAGATGCTATTGTTATATATGTAAACACACACACACACACAAATACACACAATTTCCAACCGATGTACTCTATCTGCCACCTAATTTTTTCCAGTGTAATTACAGAAAATTAGTGCTTTTTCAATATTTTATCGAGTGAAGTGGTTAGAATAAAATTAGTGTTGGCTCCCAATGAATTCTGCCAATTTCCTGAGAAGATAGGTTTTGGGTGGTTACTATTTAACTGAATAATTCAAATAGAATGGGAGATGCACACAAAATACTGTATGTTTTGAGAGTACAGTAAGACACAAGTCCTTTGCTAGGCACTGGGCTCTGACTCCCAGGCATCTGTACCTGCCCTCTTTGGGGAGAAAGACTGGCCCATTGCTGTTACAAACAGGTCAAGGCATGGGATTTGAACAGTGAGTAAACATTTACTGGGGGTCCACTATGTACCACAATCTGAAGCAGACACTGGGAGCTGTTCCAAAGTTACTGGCAGGCAGAAGAGCCTTTCTCTACAAGAACTTGCAATATAAGGAGAGAACAGGGCAACCGCATAGTAAAGGAATTGTCTAAGGTATATTAATGAAAGAGCATTGATAGCGTTATGAATATGCATTATGAATGTCACATTTAATAACATATCCAGATGAAAAATATTAAGCCCTGAGCTTGCTAAAGACATTCTTTTCAACCTTTACCAGACCAATGTATTTATGGGGGTATGTATTACAGAATGTGCTCTTTATGGAGGTTAAGAAGATACTATAATGGAAAAAGAATTACAGAGCACAGGTAATTTTCCATTTAAGTTGGTGCCAGTCAAAAGATGAGGGGATGAACCCTGGTAAATAAAGGATTGGTTTCGGACCCTTGGGGCACAGAGAACCATAGAACTCCAATACTGTATCCTGGCAATTCTTGAAAACATTTCACTGACTGTATAAAGGCAGTTATTTTAGAGCATGAGAACCCTTCTATTTCCTAAGAGAAAGTCAGAATTTTTATATTCTTTGTCATGATATGAAAGGGACTAATGATTTCTTTCTCCAGAAGCCTGTGGCCTTTGCAAGTGGACCAGAGAGGACAGGCCATGCTTCAATATGAATGGCAGAAGCATCCTTCTGGAGACAATCTCAAGACCTCCTAACTGAAAACCCATGTTTCTAATTTAAGTATGAGACAGTAATTACTCATGCAGCCAGGGAGAATTCCAAGTCCCTGCTTATTTGCAGCACTGTCTAAAAACAATCAACTCAGCTTTCAAATTTGACCAAACTACAAATGGTATGAGAATTCAGCCATCTAATAAGGATGTTCATTTTGGCACTCAGCAGCTTACACGTGGCTCACAGATGGCTTCTGTCTCGTTTTGTGTAATCCAATCATCCTGCACTACTGCGTCTCACACTTAGTCTCCAGGAGTAATTGAAAAGCTCACAGTGACAATTCTCTCTTCTTCCAGATGTCATCGATGTAAGGAGGGTGACTTACATCACCTCCTTGAAGTAGGATGTGTACATGGCTCTCCAGGTCAGAGTTGCTCCAAGCAAGGTAAAGAGAAATTGCTTCTTTGCATGGCCTTTCAGTTGCTGCCTAGCACTAGTGGAAATGAATATGTTCTATAAATGGCCTCTCTGTCAGTAGGCAACTTGTTTCACTTTTGGCTGGGTACCATACCAAAAACATTCTGCTGCACTGCTTGCATCATGTGGGGATGGTGGCAATATAGAGGCGCCCGTGCTCGAGAAAAGATTCTAAAACATGTAAATAGTGGCTGTTCAGGAGGTACCATTTTGCTCAGAAACAAGCTCTCTAGTTTTAACACCTGCACTTCTGCAATTGTTTTCTGAAATCCTGACAGTTTGTCCTCAATCTTTTTTTTTAAATTATTTTTTCAGGGGTTGGCTTTTATTCTATAACTTCTAAAGGATGTGCAAGATTTTAAAGGCAAAGTATTGAAACGTTTTAAGCTGTAGGGCTGTAGGTTTGTTAGTTTCTTTTTCCCCTGAGGCTAGTGTTAATAGTTGTGTTTTATTTCAGTGTAAAAAATACCCCTTAAAAAAAAAAATCAAAGAAACTAAAAGAAGGAAATATGCAAAGCCTCAAAGCAGCTGTGTAAATTCACATAGGCTTTGGGCCTATAAAGAGCCAGTTTTAAGGGAATGACACCCTGGAAAATCAGATTTTTACTTAAAAATTAAATTATGATTATGAATTAGTGCTACATTAATTTTAGTAAAATATCAGCACTGTGTGTATTTCTGCAAGCTTTTTCTGCTCATTGCTATCCTCACCACATACATCATCAGTAAGAAATGTTGAGTGTTGCAACAGCTAAGAATTTTCTAGGTCAGTAAAAACATTTCAGGGAAAATATTTTTTTTAAACTTATTTTTAAGAAAATTTTAAACTGTTCATAATTTAACATAGTTTTGGGATTAAACTAGCAATAATAACTTTTGCTGGAGAGATAACAATTAAAAGATAATATCCTTTCTCTTAAGTAGCTTACACAAAGAATGGGGACTCTATATTTAGTCTGGGCTTATACACACACACACATGCTGTTTGTAGTGGAAATATCCAGATAATTGCTGCAATTCTTCACTATTTTGGAATCTCAGGGCTCTATGTTTAAATCACTGCCTTAGAATATTAGATCAATAGTAAATATGTTCAAAATAGGTGGGCTGTTAAAAATCTGAATTTTTTATGATACATTCCTATAGGTTATGAGTTAATTTTTCAGTCCTTGTTCACTGTCAATATTATTAGCACAGGAATTACTGATATACTCATAAATTAATAGTAATAACAAAAAAATGACCTTCATCTAAAGATAACTCTAAGACTCAACAAACATTTACTGAGTGTATGCAGTGTGCCAGGCATTGGGCTAATTAAATCCCCCCATCTCTATACTCTAAATGAGAGAAAAGCTGACTCAAGGCAAAGCCATGGCCAACAGCCATTTAATGAATTTGCTGTCTGGGAAAATAGCACAAGAACTGGGAAGTAAGCCCAGGTATGAGGACTGCTAAATTGTTGTTCAAAATACAATGTATTGTTCAGAATACATTGTATTCTACTCCAGTAGGATACACATTTCGTAACTGCAGGAAACTAAAGTAAACTTTCCCCTGTAAAATCAATGTTTTGTGTAAAAAGCTCAAAGGCATAACATATTCCTGCATTTCTGAACTGAAAAATTTCATCCATATGGGCACATTCAGAGGGAACTGCTATTAGTAGGCTGGATCCTGGGCTGTAATCCTAGAAGTGAGAGAGCTATATGTTGTGATTTTTCTAGGAATTGTCCAAAGAACTAAAAATCAGGCTTTCCCATGAGGAGAAGTAGAACGGAAAGTGTTATCTGTTGAACACATACAGTAGTTGATGCTAGGAATTTTAACCATGTTCTGGATATAAAACACCTATGACATTTTTTCTATACTTTATAAACAAGTAGAACAAAATCAGAAAGTAACTGGCCAGCGTCATACACTTCCCAGTGAGGAACTGGGAGAGAAATCCTAGTGAATCTGACCTAAAGTTCACTTTCGTTATTAATGGACTATGGTTCCCATGGGAGTAGGCTTTTATTATTTTCTTCCTTCCTTCCATTATTATTATTCAAAATATATTTACTGAACATCTACCAAGGGCTAACCAATATTTTGGGGGCTGGAGAATTAAACATGATTAAATCAGTGTCTTTGTCGTTGAGTGGCTGGAGAAATGAGCACCTCTATAAATCAGTATGCTACAACACAAATGTGATCAGATCAGTAAGACATATACATAATGCTACAGAAGAAAAATAAGTAAATAAGGGATTGATTCTTTCCAGGAGTGGAGGGTGGGGTGGGCAGATGATATATAAGCTAGACCTTGAGAATACCACTATACAGCTTTTTGCTCTGTAAAGAAGAATAAAGCTATTGTAGGTAATGGGAGCATTCTGCTTTGCAAAATCACATGAAGGCTTCCAGTTTTCATACAATAAATGGAGGTTGTTATAAAAGGACTAGGCCTAGATTTCACAGGGGAATTCTCCCACATCTTCAAAGATCACACACTCCCAATGTTACTTAAATTGTTTCTGAGTATAGAAAAAGAAGAAAACCAGTAAGGTATTTTTATGAAACAATTACATGGTCACCTAAACCTTATAAAGACAGTGTAAAAAATAAACTACAAATCAATCTCATTTATGAACATGGAAATAAAATTCTAAATAACATATTAGCCAACAGACTCCAAGAACACATTGTAAAAATAAAACAAAATAACCAAGTGATTTTTTTTCCAAAAATGTAAGAATGGTTCAATATTAGGTAGTCTACTAACAAAATTTACTATGTTTATAAATCTAAGTGGAAAAATCATATGATCATCAACATACATGGTAAAACTGCCTTTAACAAAAATTGACAACCATTCCTGATTAAAACACTAAATAAAATGGTAATTGATGACTTCTTTAGTGTTTACACACACACAAATGCACACACACACACAAATATATTGCAGTCCTAAAGCTGGTATATTACTTACTGGAGAATACTAGAGACATTCACAGAAAGGCCAAGATCAGGTTAAGGATATCTACTAACTCCACTACTGTTTAAAAATATACTAGAGATACTAGTCAATTCATTCAGACCAGGAAAAAAACCAAAACAAAACCCCATAGAATTGGAATAGAAGTATATTGCAGTATATCTAAAAAATCCAAGAGATTTACAACAAAACAATTTAGTAAGGTAATCGACTATTAAATTAATATATGAAAATCAGAAACCTTTCTATATACAAATAATAGGTAGTTAAACAATTTAATGGAAGATAAAATTTTGGTTACATTAGTAGCAAAAAGAGAATTTATTCAGTAATAAACTTAACAGAAAGGATGTAAAATCTGTATGAGGAAAAAGAAAAATTCTGAAAGATGTAAAAGTGGACTTGAATAAGTTTGGAGATTTTTTTTTTTTTTTTTTTTGGATAGCATGAGTAAACATCATAAAGCTATCATTTAGTCCCATCTTAATAATAAAGTTAGCATAATCCCAATAAAAATAACAAAGTTGTTTTATGGAGGTAATCAAGTAGATTTTGAAATTTATATGGAAAAATGAACATAAAAATAGCTAAGAGAAACTTTAAAAAGAGAAAAATGAGAGGTGACTAGGCTTACAATATATTTTTTAAACAGTTTTATTGAGTTATAAATTTGATATACAAAAAACTGCCCATATTTAATGTATACAATTTGAGCTTGGACACATGCAAACACCTGTGAAAATATCACTACAATCAAGATAATAGACATATTCATCACCTCCAAAAGTTTCTTTGTGCCCCTTTGTTGGTTTTGTGTGTGTGCATGTGTGGTAAGAACACAACACGATGCTTTACCAGATATTAAACATACTATATAAAGCTTCTATAATTAAAACGGTGCAGTATTGATCCATGAATAGATAGAAAAAGATATCAATGAGCAATGGAAATACACTAATGAAAAAAGTAGTATATCACTGGAATGTTAGGTTGTGATAGAAAGCAAGGAAGTCCAACAAATGAAGGAATACAGGTGGTACCTTGCAGGTGTTCAGACTGTTCAAATTTGGGACAATTGTAGCATTAACAAGAATTGTAATGGACTATGACACAGAAAATAAAGACCATAGGTCACCAAAAATAAATGAATAAATAATAAATATATAAATTAATAAGTTCAAGGGCAAGAAGGGAAATCTCTTTATGGAAGAACGCCTACTAAAATTTAAAAGGGAAAATAAAATGATAAAATCATCAGTTTATCAAACCAGTGTAAATAATTGATTCAGACAAGATACATTAATAGTTGCTAAAACCACTGGGTAAAAAGTTTTGGGGTAACAGGATATTCACAGTGTCAAGTACAACCCCACAGATTATTTATTAACCACAGAGGACAAACAGTACAATTAAAATAGAGAGATCTGCCAGACATCACCTTTTCCAAGTGTTCAAACTGACCATCACTAGTAGTGAGACAAATTCATATTATGTCTCCTCATAAGATATGATGGGAAATATACAAAATTCTCTTTGTGAAATTCTTCTTCAAAGAATCTAATCATGAGGAAACCATCAGACAAATTCAGAGTATGACACTAAAGAGATAATGACAACCAAACGTAATGTGAAATTCGATTGATTCTAGTATTCTTGGATTTTGAGGACAACTGGGGATATTTGAATATAGACTCTATACAAACAATATTTTATATTCAGGTAAAATTTCTTGTGTGTGATAATGGTTTTGTGGTTGTATAGGAGAATGTTCTTGCTCTTGTGAGAATTTAGGAAAAAATATTGAAGTTCTTTGAAAATTTTGTCTTCACTTTCTGCCATTGAGAAATAAATGTGTTATGATTTCACATCATCTTTACACATTATACCTGGTCATCTTTTTCCAAAGACCATTATTTGATTTTAAGCCATCTAAAGGGAGAAAAAGTAAATACTAACACAAAAAGCAAATCTATTTTAAAAATATTTTT